CTTGTGTCGGATGAATTGACATACCAATATTATGACCATCAACATTACTCAAATCATAGAAATCATTCCCTGCATGGTCACTGAGTGTGAATTCAGCAATGGTTGCTGGTCTTTCACGTCCAATTCCTTTACATTCCATTCCGAAATTATCAGCTGCAGCACCACAACTACCTATCATACACCGACGATGCAAAAGATTCATAAACCGTGTTTTTCCTCAAACTCACCTGTAGCACATATGAATCTTCCATCAATATCTTTGCAACCTGTTCTCGGCCAAATTCGTCCTGATTCCCAATTGTCTGGTACACGAATCTCTTTTGACTGTCCACTAGTCAATTCAAATCCTCCATTTTCAACTAAAGGATTACCTTGAATACCCATTCAAATTGTTTGACTGCATTTGTTCTCCAACCGAAATGTTCGTTCCGTAAGAACAACAGTTCCACCACCAAAGAAAATAAAAATCAGAAGAAAAAGGTGTTGTTCATTTTGTAATTTGTCTGTAAGAATATTAGAAAACAAAGAAACTATTAGTTCCCAAGTATGCGATAATCTACTAGTTTATATAGATATTATGAAACTCTTGTGCTTTCCTCTGTTTGGAATTTTCCCTTTGTGTTTTCTTTTTTCTAGAATAGTGATATCATTTTTTATTAATTGTATAGTACTATAGTTAGACACAGTAGATATATTCTTCCTTTTCTTTAGGAAAGACAATTATGTAGTTTTCCGCGTACTAACGGTTTGAGATAGAGACCATTGTAGGAATGAAACACCTAATATGATCCACATTGCAGTCTAAAATTAATATTTTAACTGTACTACAAATATGAGAACGCTGGATTTACTTGAAAACATCTTTCTGTCATCACGAATCAGAATGGTAAATAAGGCGTTTTTCCTGTCAACAGAAAAAAAGGGAAGGTAAACTTTACACTAATCAACAGCTTTAGATCTCACTATGTATAAATTTAACGTCTGCTTAATTTTCAAACAACTCAGTCTAACTCATATCCCTCTCTAGTATGTCTGAAACGCTGTTAAAGCATGAAAGGTCGTCTACTTCTGTCTCGTTTATTAGCGCTCGCGTTTCTAGCACAAGCTGAAGTAAGCAGCTCTGATCGCGCATTGAGGTGTCGTCGAACTGTCACGTTGCCTACTATGATAATCTTGTCCGAAAGTCTGTGGTAGAAGAGATGATGGTTTCATTAGAATTGGAAAATCTGTTGGAATTATTTGTTGGAATCAGCGCCGAATTCTGCACCAAAAAATTGATTTCAAATCTGTTATCATTTCGGTGGAAATTATTCTTAGTTGTGCATTACACCATGTTGTGCACAAGCATATCAACATATGCATATGACGACAAAGACACCATGCTTTAGAAAGGAAATACTTATGAATTGCTCTGTTTTATATGAAAACACCATCTGTTTTTAGAAACGAAGATATTCTCTGACAGTTCACCATACAATGCACTCCGTAAAGACGAAATCGCATCATATTATTTAGGATGCGTTATTGGTTGTGATGATGTCATTGACTGGGATACGAAGTGTGATTCCAAACCTGTTATCATTTCTGTGAAAATTATTCTTAGTGGGGGAAAAAAATTCAGAACAGTGGTCGCTTTTAATGACTTTTTGAAGTATTTTGGACAAAGTGCAGATTCGGATAGAAAAGTTTTTTTCCAAATAACCA